TATTCATTCTTTTACTTTCCCTCCACTGAAAGTTAGTTTGAGACATAAAAGACGATTCAGTTGGTGATGAAAATGTTTTCTGAGATTACTGTGGATATGAAGGCTCTCTCTCTCTCGGACTGTTCATACATGTATGTTTTAAGGTTGTCTATTAATGTGGCTTTAGCAGAGTGATATAATTATGAACATCGTAGAACCTCATTCAACTGAGCAACTTGGATGCTATGGTGGGCACATTCAATTTGACATTCCTAATTTTCTGCGTGTGAAATATTTATCACGCATGCATCTGTGAGAGTGATTGATTCAGATTGTGCACTGCTGTTTAGGTCTTAATTTCTATTGAGAGACAGAAATTTGTTGAGAAAGAGGCAGAGACAACAAAGATGATGGCTATCAGTGAGGCTGAAAAGAATGCCAATGTGAGCAAGATTCTCATGGAACAGAAGTTGAGGGAGAAAGACAGTGCAAGGCAGGAGCAAGAGATTGAGAATCAAATGTATATGGCTCATGAAAAGAGCTTGGCTGATGCTGCATTCTACCGGTGAAAACTCCCTGTTTCCTTTTTCATGTTGGTGTCTTTCAGTCGATTTCTTGAAAGTGGATTAATATACTTGCTCTCTCTCTCTCAGCGTCTTGAAAGAAGCTGAAGCAAACAAGTTGAAGCTTACTCCCCAGTTTCTCGAGCTGAAATTCATTGAAGCCATTGCTGATAATACAAAAATTTTCTTCGGGGACAAGGTTTTAATCTCTCTCTCTCACACCACATGCACGCACATGCCTGCCCGCCCTAACTACACAAAAATTTAACATGACATTCTTTTTACAGGTGCCGAACATGGTTCTTGATCAGAGACTGCTGGGAAATTTTCTGCAAGGGATGTCTGGAGGGATGGCTAGAGAAGTGGTCTCGGAAGAAGTGTGAAGAGAGAGATTGGGAATACAGGTTAAGAGTTCGATCTCCAATCTGTCCATCATGTGTGGCCGATAGCTGTATTCCCATACTGCTGCAAGGCAGCGATGATAAATTAGTGATTGCATTCCGTTTAAGCTTGGTTTGGGGATGAGCTATGCTTTTTGCCTTCAATTAGAAGGTTGCTACCAATGGTATATGCGTTACGTGTGTACTCTTTAATGTCATTGAGAGAAACAAGCTAGTTATGTTTTCTTAGGTTAAACATTCGTGTATATTGCTGCACGTTCTCTATTTGCTCACTCATGACCAGTCCACACACTAAAATTGTAGTGTCACGCCGTAGTATTTGGTACCTAAGATTTGCAAGATTGCTTAATTTTAAGAGAGAGGGGACCAAAGTTTTGATTGTGACGTACTGGGTCCCCCAAATTTATCATAGATGAGTCCAAAGCCCTGTTTATTTTTACGTGTTAAAAGTATTTAAAAAAATTAAAAATTTTTATTTTTTTATTGTAAATTAATATTTTTTAGTATTTTAGATTATTTTAATATGTTAATATTAAAAATAATTTTTTAAAAATAAAAAATATTATTTTAATATATTTTTAAATAAAAATTATTTTAAAAAGGTAATAGGAAACTTGAACTAATTAGCCAATTTATTTAAGTGCTGATATCCTGCTCAATAAAAAAAAATGATGGCCCCCCTCTCGGAATGGATTCTCCAGAGCATAAGGATGGTGACAACTGACAAGGGAAGCGCAATAAAACAGTAGTTTTGGGAATTCTGAATGGTAAGGTGTGATGGGTGTCCAAGTAAATCGTCTGCTATTTTTGGTTGAAACTTTTCAAATGCTGCTCTGGCTCTTCGATCTTTATCTTTTTTTTTAAAAAAAAAAAAACTCCAGCTCTTTGATCCGCCTGGACTCCCGGGAGTCTGGGCTCTGTGTGTTTGAAGAGGCAACAGAGAGAGAGCGTACGAGAAATGATTACATACATTTTGTCTCAAGTTGATAGTTGCGAGATGAGTTTCCACAACACCAATCTGGATTTGCTCCAGCAAGAATTATTGGTGACTGTTATCAATGGAGTAGCTTGGGGTAGAAATAAATGGAAATGCTGCTCTTAGATGAACAACAATGGAGGATAGAAACGGTTAGAAGGACAGAGAAGGAAAGCACGATACGGTTTCCCGGATTCCCTTTAATTCATTGTATTCAAAATATGCATCGCCAGACAAAGTCTGTTACAACTATATATATCCCGAGCGTTCTCTTCTAGAATTATTCCTTGGAACATTCAGGAACAAAAGAGAATGAAAGGCAGCTAGTAAAACTGATTGAAACGGTGCGTAAAGGGAAACTAAATGAAACGCTGCGAATAACCGTTAACAAAACGGTGCGTTTGTGTAACGGTCATGAGAGTAACGATCCATCATCTAAATTCTAAATTTGGTCTTTCCCTGTTATTCCTTCTTCTTCTTCGTTCTGGACTCCTGACATTGATTGATACTCTCAAGTCTCAACCAAAGAGCTTTGTGTATAAGTTTGATTAGAAAATTAACAAAAAGTTGGCTTGATTTGGTTTCTTTGTTTTCTTGAAAACAAAGAAGCAAATTGAAACAAGTCGAAAGAACTAAATTACTGGATATATATATATATATATTAAAGGCTCGTTAAATATTAAAGCATATAATAGGCTCATTAATTTAAACAGCTTGGCTAAGTTTTGCTAGGTTTTTTGACTCAAACCAAACCATTTGAATCGATGATCACTTACAGGTAAATCATTAATTTTTGTGAAGTCAATTAGACTACTAGTAGAAGCCACTTACAATTATTGTTTGGAACTTAAATATCATAAATGTAAAGGGGCTTAAAGATAAGATGATAGAGTTAAAAGGGTTTGATGGTGGGTTTGGTTTTTCCATAAAAGTTTTTTTTATTTTTGATTAATTGGGTGTTCCAGTGTATACATATTTCGATTGATTGTACGAAGTCTTAAAATTAAAAATTATGTAAATTTTAAGTAAATATGAGATTTATAATATTGAATAATCTCTAAAAATACAAATATAAAACCTCATAAGTTAACCTGGCTGTTTTTTTATTAATTTGCTTAGTGGGCAAGTAAAGTCAGGGAATTTAGAGGCTGTTTCGGACTCTATTCTATGTATTTTGAGGGAACAAGGTGGAGAGGATTCGAATTTTAGTGAGGAAACTTATTGACAAGTGGTAAAACGATTTATGAAAGATGGAAGTATTAAGGGTTTAGCAAACTTGATCATTGAAGCTCGGAAGTTGGATTCAGCAATTAATGTGGCTGATAAATCCACTGGGTTTGGTATTGTTAGTGCCTGTGTTAATCTTGGATTATCAGATAAAGCACACAGTATTGTCATGAAACGGATGGTCAAGGTGGTTCTGTAGGTCTTGGGGTCTTTGTGCCAAACTTGTAGGCATATTGCAGGGTATAGAAAAGCTGAAGCTACGCAACTGGTCATGGAAATTAGCAACACGGGGCTTAAGTTAGATGATGGAAGCTACAATGCACTAATAGAAGCATCAATGACAAGCCAAGATTTCCAGTAGGCTTTTAGTCCGTTTTGGGATATGAGAGAGGCCAGAACACCTGACCTGAAAGGAAGCTATTTGACAATTATGACAGGTTTAATGGAAAGCCAGCGCCCTGAACTAGTGGCTGTTTTTTTAGATGAAGTTGTTGAGGACCCTCGAGTTGAAGTGAAATGTCATGACTGTAATTCAATTATTTATGCTTTTTGTAATGCTGGGCGACTAGAGGATTCAAAGAGGACTTTCAGAAGAATGACTTTTCTCCAGTTTGAGCCAAATGACCAAACATATTTGTCCCTAATTAACGGGCATGTGACTGCAGATAAATATTTCGGTGTTCTGATGCTGTGGAATGAGGTTAAGCAAAAGTTCTCACCTGATATAGAGAAGGGTATTAAATTTTATCACAGTTTGGTTATGCTTTCCTATTTGCTCTGGTAAAAGAAGGTTTCTTTGATGCAGTGATGCAAGTAGTAGAAAAATCTCAGCAGATGGAAGATTTTTGTGGATAAATGAAAGTACAAGCAAGTATTCATGGGGAGTCATAAGAAGCTGAAAGTATCAAGTTGAGAAAGAGGAACGTCCGAAAAACGGAAGCGCTTATTGCTTTTCAGAATTGGGCTGGGCTAAGTGCGTGAGTTTCAAGGATGTCCCATGGTTAGTTGTCTGCTTGAGCTTTTGCTCACAGTTTTACTACGATGCATAGAATTCAAATTGGAAGCGCCTACTTTCAATCAAATGAAACATGTTTTCTTTTATTCAAATGACCTGAATGGAATAGTTTCCAGATGATTCCGTGTTCCCTTTGATTTCGAGTCATGACAGGATTCAGTAAAGGACTGTCTTCTGAGACGAGGCCAGTGCAGTGCTTGTTTCAATTAGAAGAGTTTAGTTGCACCATTAAGTTCCGCCATGTGTATTCTGAGGGCATTTCACTAAGGCTGTATCTTCATACTAGATCTACATGCGGTATTGGTGGATGAATCAGCTGATGGGAGCTGGATTTTCTTTCCATTCGGGAGTCCTGTTGAGCTGTCAAATTCAACGGCTAAGAAAGCAAGATAAACCTTGTCAGCTTTTCAGGATGACATTTTGCTGCTGTAGCTGTAAAATTTTCTTTGTGCTCTAGTATGTGTTATTTTGTATTGAAATATACATTCAAATTCTTTCTACCCAGTGTGAATCTCTAGAGATTCTTTCTACATGGAGATAAATTGGAAATCATATCGCTGTGTGAATGGGCAGTAAAAATCACGTTTCTTAAGAAAATGTGTTGCAGGTCCACTTGCATTAGTTGAAAGTTACTGGTCATAGTGTTCACATTAACAAGTGTGTTTCTCTTCTTTACTGTTTGCTGGGTCTCCTGCTGGATTGCAGGTCCACTTGCATTAGTTGAAAGTTACTGGTCATAGTGTTCACATTAACAAGTGTGTTTCTCTTCTTTACTGTTAGCTGGGTCTCCTGCTGGAATGTACGTTGCTTTACAGCTAGAACCCACATGCACATGGTTTGCTTTTAGGAAGCAAAAGAAGGAGAAATTTGAAAGTGGTCTCCTCCACCGAAAGGAACCATCAACTCCTTCCAAATATCACTATAAAACTATTATACTCTCTAGTGAAGTTTCTTCCTTACTTTAAACTTGCTAATATCCAATTCTCCACAAACTCTCACCAATGCCATCCACCTCAAATGCATGGATCTTCACCTGCATTCTTCTCTCCCTCCCCGTGCATTTCACCATCTCTGCTGCTGTGCATCCTATCCCAATAAATGGCACATGTCATGACACTTGTGGCACAATGCCAGTGAAGTACCCCTTTGGCTCCGGATTTGGTTGCGGGCACCCCGACTTTTCTAGATATGTAAGATGCAACTCTGACATACTAGAGTTCTCGACTGGAACTGGAATTTACAATATCTCAGAAATCGATTACACAACTGGTTCCTTAATTATCACAGACCCCTTCATGTCTACTTGTAGTTCAATGCAGAACTCAGGAAGCTTTAGCCTGGATCGAGCTAGTCCATTCTCTTTAACGGGGGAAAATATATTTGTCTTGCTTGGATGCTCAACCAATTCTCCTTTATTTGATCCAGCTGAAGATTTGTGTGCTATGGTGTCGCGCTCCCGTGTATGCAGAGGGCTATACTCTTGTAAGGGAGTGACAGGAACAGGGTTGCCACAGAATGCGCCACCTTCCACTTGTTGTGTTTACGAGTCACCTATCCAACTAGCAGGCTACCCGTTGGATCTTCCAAAGCTCCAATGCTCTTCTTATACATCAATATACAGTTTCGGGGGGAGTGAGGGGGATCCAGTGAAATGGAAATTTGGGATTTCTCTGCAATATAATGATTCATACTATTCTAATTTATGCAAAGATTGTGAAACAAGCGGGGGCTTGTGCGGCTTTGCAGGTTTTGATCAGTCATTTGCTTGCATTTGTAGGAATGGGAAGAACACCTCCACTAGTTGTTTTGGCCAAGGTTAGTTGTTCACCATTCCAATTCTGTTCTTCGTTTTCTCTTTCTGTAAGAACCTGTACGCTGATGTATGCCTTTGATTGATTAGGCTATGCCTGGAGCGGGACACGGGAGTCAAAAATTCAAACCAAGCTCAGTTTTGGAGGTAAGTGCCTTTTGTCAAACTCTCCTTTTTATGCTGATCAACTTTAGCACTAAAAGTTACTAAAAAAGAAGGGGAAAAAAACTCGCAGAACAAAATGTCTTCTGTGCTTTGGATTTTTTTGCAGTGGCGTGCTTGACTGCACCTTTTCCTATTCCCTCAAATCATGGCACTCATGTCACCTAGCTAGAGAGTGTCAAGTTGGCCAAAGAAAGAAACAAAAGGTCATCTAAATGGTATATCCGTTCTTCATTATTTGATCGCCTGGAACCCTGAAAAGTTGCTCCCAGATTTTCTTTTCCTCTCTTATTTTTGCCTTGTAAATGCGCTGCTGGAAGACTAAACAAATTTCGCTCGTGGGACACTTGCCCCCACAAAAGTAAAGGAATCCCGAAAAGTCAAACAAATAACTAGCTTAGCCCATCCTCAAGTGGATTCCCTGCTTGTTATCTTGTAACCATTAAGTCGTATTTTGGTGCTCGACGCTCGTACTTTTTCTCATCGCTAGCCTCCTTTCTTTACTTGCACAGATGCTAGTTACATGTCCTCATCACTTTCTCAATTTTCTATTGCCATCCAGGAATCTTGCTCTTGTGGCTGGCACTTTCTATTTGAAGATTGGAAATGAAAGATCTCCAGGAGTAAGCCTAGAACTTAATCGCTTCTTAGGTCAAATGCAGCACTTTATTCTCTAACTGACAGGAAAAATGTCCTGATTCTGCATCTACCTAGCTTACTGCATGTCATGATTGTATGTTCCATTTTTGTTTAAAGTTCAAACTTCAAAATGGATAATACGTTCTGTATTACAGCTTACTGTTACCGTTACTGATAACTGATGATGTACAAAATTTTCAATTTGCTTACGAAGAAGATAGATGTGATTGGATAATAGGTTCATTATTTAATTCTTATACTCTGATTCATTTTCTTTAAGTAAGGTGACTGGTAGTTTAAATGTAAAAAGCTAGGATGACTAGTTAAAAAATAATTAAAATAGTTTTTTTTGTATCTTTAATTAGGTCACGTCAAGAAATAAATATAACAAAATTATTAAATTTAAAAAAATTCATAATTTAAGTTATGAATTTGATAAAATACTGATGAAATTTGGGTTGGTCCAATATATTACTATATCAATATTAAAAAAATATATCTTTTTTAATTTTTTTTAAAACCAAACCTATTTTTTGTTATCATTTAGTTATTTTTAAACTTGTTAAATCAAGTGAGTCATGTTGGAATAATTTCCATGTAATTTAATTTGAAACTCTGAGTTAAGCAAGAAATTAAGTTAATAGATTTCAAATTGATTTATTGGGTTAGATTTAATAATAATATCAAATAATTTATTGTAATGTGAACATTTTTTTATTAAAAAATTTAGTTTGATAACAACATAACACGACCATTAAACTAGTAATATCTAATATAATATATTATGAAAAAAGAATGATAATAGGTAGTCTAATTTATTATATGAGTGATGAGGTAAAATTTTCAAAGAATAAAAGAAAATAAATTATTTTAGTCTGGATATCATGATCGTGACTAGCACACAAGCATGATGTTATGAGAACATCCTACCTATATTAAATGTTATAACATACATATTAAAAATAAGTTATTTAAAATGTTATAGTATTTATAAATTTTTAAAATATTATATTATTCAAAACTAATAAAATCAGTAAAATTTAAGTGCAAAATCAATAACGAATGAATACCTAGATATAAAGTAAATATATAAATATTTAAAAAATTAATTATTTGTACCTATTATATAATCAATATACATGTTTTTTTTATATTATATACATGTTAGATTATTTTATTCACTTAGAAAACAAAAACAAAGGGCAAGAGGATGCAAAATTGAAAACCATTGAAGATCACTAGAAAAAATGTCAACAACATTTATAACGGATGCAGTAAAACTCAAAGAAATTGATTATCCAAAAACAAAGTAGGAATAACCCTAGAGAGTGACGCGGGTGGAAGTGAAAGATAAATAAGTTTATTACATATAAAGACTCTCATAAATTAAAAATATCACAAGTATAGAAACATTCTTATAATTTTTAATTTTATTTACTTATGTTTTCACTTGGCAAAAGACTACGATAACTCATTATATAAAAAACCTAGAAAAACTCAAATAATATTAAATAGAGGAATAAAAATAAAAAAAAAATATTATTTTTGAATAGGAATAAAACAAAAAAGGAACCATAATAAAGAATGAGAAATATTTATTTTCCTAAAAAATCTCATGCCTTATTCTTCATGGGTTGGTAGAAAATCATCTTTATGTTCAGTTTGCAGTGCTCAATCAAAAATATTTATATATATATAAATCACCTTATTATGGGTCCTTAATATTTGTATGTGTAAAATAACATCATGAATATTTAATCCAATATATTTATGCAGAGCGTCTCTTCACAGGTTTCTAACACAAGGTTTTTCAACCATAGTTTTTTGAAGCACATATCATAGTAAAATAATTATTAAAAATTATTGGGTTGTGATATCAACCAACACATATAAAACATATAAAAGTAAATGATAAATAAATTTGTTACATGTTAAAATCTTTAAAGACTAAAAATAAAATTTTAAAAATCTTTAATTTTATTTATTCTATATCTTCACTTATCAAAATATTATTATATTTTTTATATAAAAAAATTAGAAAACTTTAACAATACTAAATAAAAAATATTTTTATTTAAAAACTGTACGAAACAATCTATTTTCCACCTGGAGTTTTTTCACAACTTCATGAACGAGATACTTGTATCTTTTGGCCAGGGAGGTTTCCACAAGAAGCTAATTTTGGAATCTTTTGATGTTTTTATTTTTATTTTTATGAGAGGTGTCATTGATCACATCCATATATTCTTGAATTTGAATGTGATTCCGTAATATTGACAATTACCGAGGATCCCAGTTTATTATTTGACTCGTGGTTGACACGGCACTGGCTGTAAAATTCAGAATATGGTGGGAGTGCACCGCACACAGATTGTATTCTCTTACCGTCACCGGACCAAATTTAATGCCCCGACATATAAAAATATTATGTATTTATTTATTATGGTATTTATCTATTCATCTTTTTTAGCTTTCCAAGTGCAAGAAAATCTCCTACTATTTTTAATTTGTTTTTGGTGCGCGCGCAGTGGGCGTGTTTCCAAAGGATTTTGTGACGTTGTTATCTCCTCCATTGATTTCAAAGTGTTAAGAAACCGAGACAAACTTCGGCATCAGACGACAAATTGGACAGTGTTTTCCTTAATTTTATTGCTGTTTATTTTAGGCAAAATGATTGCCTAAAATAAAATTTTGCTCTTATACTTAGCTTATAAGCATAATTCTTGAAAAAAAGAAAAGAAATGTTTATGCAAATCAGAAGCATATTATCCTGTTTTCACCCCCTTTTACTTGCAATCGCCCGCGTGTGTGTCTCTCTCTCTATATATATTTAGAAATGTAGACGTGATTATTTTTGAAATTTTATTTTATTAAAAATACATAGAATAATATTTTTTATTTTTTATACTGTTTTTAATATTAAATTATTAAAATAATAAGAAAATTAATTTTAAAAAATTAAACTCTTGCGAAACTCTATTTTAGCCGCGTTTGTGGACCCCATCTAATTTACGATAAATAGGAAGAAAAAAAAAGGCGTACCAAATTCATTTTAAGCATAATATAGTATTGGAAAAGAAAAACCCTGCAGAAAGAAGTTGGGAAACTGTGCCGTGTGGTGTACACACCTCGTATCATGTGCCCGGCGATATAGCTCCCCGGCGAGGCAACCTTAAAACAGTTGACTCTCCGCCCTTCCTTATTGGACATTTGTTGGAATATCCATAAGAAGATTCCAAGCCTGCTCATGTTTGCTGCTACCACTACTATAATTTGCCATCTCCCTCTTATGTGATCAGTCAGTCCAGCTTCTTCTTCTTCTTCTTCTTCTTGCTAAATAGATTCAAATTCAATCATAAACCCGATACTTTTTTCCCCTGTTATTGTTTTTTTTTATTATTGTTGTACTATACTTCTCCTACTAGCAATTCAGGATTGTTATACTGGTTAGTACTTTCTCTACTTCCTTTTGGTTGCGTAGCTCAGTTCTTATGCTGCCTGGGATTTATACGCGCCTGTTGGTTTACTTTTTTGGTCATAGTTTAAAATTAAACCTCATTTTTCATGAGTTGTCTTAGATGTTAGCTAAAAAGTTTCGATGTGATCGAAAAGTTTGTTTGTTTTTTAATTTCAGATATTGGGTTCGGATGATGAGAGGATTAGAACTTGTCTTCTTTGCTATTCTACTGGTTCCTGCAACTCTTCAAGTGGCGAATTCACATGCAGAGCAACCTCTTTCAAGAATCGCTGTTCATAACACAAGACTTCAACTTTTTGAAAATGCTTATATTAAAGCCTCCCCTTCAAGTCTTGGACTCAAGGTAGGCTTTTGCAGCAGCGGTTATTTTATTCAGCTCCCATAATATGACGAAAGCTTCTTTTTTTTTTTGCTTTTTTTTAATTGCAAGATGTTTGCCTATTTTGGAAACTGAGATGTTATTACTATATCCTCTGGGTTTTGAATGAAGTGATACAATGGCCAAGGTCTGACAATATGGAGAAATCAATTTGTTATGTGATTGGAAATTTCTTTCACTGTTTTAGGGGCAAAATTCTGATTGGGTTAAATTGGAGTACGCTTCTCCAAACCCATCAAATGACGACTGGATAGGAGTGTTTTCTCCTGCTGACTTCAGGTACGTGTAGATTTTTGCATCATAAAACTGGCCTGGCTTCTTAAATTTTGTTATAGTCAAAATCTGCCATGTTTCAAATGGTATTCCTGTGAGTGTTTGAATAAATTCAACAATTATCGAAGTGAGAATGCTTATCTTTATCAATTTCCAGTGCCTCTACCTGCAACCCTGATGATGGCTCAAAACAAGCTCCTCCATTTTTGTGTACTGCACCTATTAAGGTTCATCCTGACCTCTCTTCCACAAGACTTTTGCTCTTTAACCTACCCTTTTTCTTGAAGTGACAAGGGATATCAATACACTGTGTTAATATTGCAGTATCAGTATGCAAACTACAGTAGTCCAGGATACACAAAGGAGGGAAAGGGGTCGTTGAGGCTTCAGTTAATTAACCAGAGATCAGATTTCTCTTTTGTGCTTTTTTCTGGAGGTTTAACGAATGTATGCTTTTGATTTTCTCTGCTCTTTACTTGCAATGTGACAAATAGATTATTTCACATAAAGTAAATGGCACCAATGATTAATTTTCCTATTAATCTTCTTCTCGCTTCTTTCACAGTTCTCTGATTATTTCAAATTTATTTGATGAGCATGGTTGTTTTGGTATTCCATCATGGTTGACCATGCTGCAAATTCAATCTAATTATCCGTTCTTTCATAATAGCCCAAGGTGGTGGCAGTGTCAAACAAAGTTGCTTTCACCAATCCAAATGCGCCAGTTTACCCACGCTTAGCACAAGGAAAGATATGGAATGAAGTAATGCCTACTTTCCCCTTTTTTTCCATCTGAAAGTTCATATGTGATACCTATAATACCTAGAGGAATGTGAAGCTCTTTGTTGCGTATATAAAATAGTTTTTTTATCACATTTTGATGAATTATTTATGTATGCTCCAAGCTTGTTATTAGAAATCAAGTGTTGTTTTTTTTTTTTTGTCACCTTAGTTTATAAACTTGAGTTCATACTGGGGCAACTATTTTTCAAAGTTATAACTTTGCTGTGAACTCTTATACTCAGATGACTGTAACATGGACAAGTGGGTACGGGATCAATGAGGCAGAACCCTTTGTTGAATGGGGTCGAAAAGATGGTGATCATATGCGATCCCCAGCTGGGACA